CAAATCAAACCCTTAACAGATATTCATGCCAATTATTTGCTGGCAAGGTTTCGGCCCATTCTAGGTAAACATAAGGATATAGTTAAAATAGATCTGTCTTGACTACCCTGGAAATTAAATAGATTACACCATGTACACCGGTACACACACATGTACATGTACATGTACATGTATGAAGCCACTTGGTGGCATGTACTGGTTGGAGGTCAGGTGATCACACTAATAATGTAAATTACTAGCTGACATCAGCTTCCATGGACCAATCCGAGTGCCAAATCATTGTACACTCTGACTCAAACTATCAGTAGCCCCTCCTCCTAGTAGGTATTGTGATGACCGGCTGAATTGTAGCAACTGATCCTTGTTTCTTGACAGTGACGATGCATTGTGTGCTGTTGTCGGTCGCTTGAATTGGTTGAATACTGCATGTGGTCTTGATATTAATTCTGATTGCACATGTATCCAGAGAATATTACCTCCGAATCGCGTCATCGGCATGATAAGTGCCTGCTTCAGGAATATTTTCCAATTGCTTCCGTTCGACCATGGTTAAAGTTTCAACTGGACGTTTTTGTGGACGAGGCACACTAGTACATGTACTAAAGTACATGTATGTACAGTACATGTACGGTAGGAGTGCGCTGCTCAGTGATGGTGCCGGTACCTGCAAGAATTTTGAGCCCCAAATTTGAAATGAATGCTTGTGCAAAGAGATCATTGCAATATAAGTAGAACTTGTGTTGTAGTGCATATTACACTTATCGGTAATTGAAAACTGTGCTTCCCAAAACAGTGTATTCTTACCTGTTCCTGTACACATACCGATAAAGCTCAGTGTTCTGGTACATGTACTATTCCTTATCAAGAAGGAACTCCAAATGGTGACCTTGGCCTGGCCTGCGATTATCCATCTGGCCTGGAATTTGTTTGCTAACTCCCAGATAATATACTACATGATTCTACATCATACTGGTATGTGTACATGTTTATTTGTAGAAGACATGTATACACCTACAGTGTACCTGTAAATGTAGACCCGTGTGGCATAGCCTAGTGTGTTTTTACTGTGCGTCGTAAAAAACCCAGTCTGACTCACAAATTCCATTATCGTCTTTGGCCCAATCAATTAACTGCAGGTACATGTACATGTACACACATGTACATACATACATGTATTGTATACATGCTTTTTGGTGAGATCCTCTTGACAGTGTGAGACCTGCGTGAACTTGTACATCTAAATGTACATGTAGCTGTGTATTTCCTTGTCCCCTGTGTAAAGTGTGGGAAAAGCAACATCAGCAGCCTGGTCAACTTCAGTGGGTCGAGTAGATAAGCACTCTTTTGTCCTGTGAAATGAGAGAAGCAAATCTGCAGACACATGGAAACAGTCTTCCACCTGGAATCAAGTTAACAGTGTAGGCCACCAGCTACACCTTTAAGTAATTGCCTCACTTCAGAGGCAGTCCCCTTGGAGTGCATCTACAGTGGGCTTCAGTTACACCATATAACAAAGTAAAGAACAGATACAAATCTCCCCATTCCTGTTCACCACTTCAAGAAATTTCACACAGCACTTGCAAAGTGGAACGAGAGAAAGTGTTGGGGGGGGGACATTGTGCAGCAGAGTTACAGTCAACATGTGCATCATATAAAGTACAGATTGTGCATCAATGTATGGCGGAAGCAGTTGGCAACAGAAAGGAGCTGAGTATTTCAACTATTAGTCTGGCTGTAGAGACATGCTGAACACCATATGCGGGATGCTCCTGCATCCAGATGGAGCCCCAGGAGAGGTGGGCAATTTTTTTCCCCAGGTCCCCAGAAACCCGGACAGTGTTGTTATTAACAGTGAGCCCTTGAAACAGATGCATGCATTAGATCCCTTGGATCAGTGGGAGTCTGCATAACAAATTATTAACACTTCATAGGGCTCAATCAATGAATTGCGAGGACGCTATAAAGATTTTTTGTTTCTGGTAAAAGCTTGGTAGCCTGTCAGCGTGTATCAGTTTTTGTGTGGAGCTCCGGGAGATGTCCGCATGTACTTGTACATGTACGTGTAACGTCTGCTACATTGGAAAAACAGGTCCCTGCTTACACACACGCACAATTTATTCAAAACTGAGAATTTTACATCATTTTACTACATTTCTGAAATGTTAAATGGCAAAAGACCTTTAACATTTGGTGAATAGTTTCCTTGGTGTAGATTTCTTTCCTGAGTCTTCACTTAACCGACACGGAAGTGACAAGCTTGATCACAGATCTGTTCTCTAGTTGGGAATACATGTGCATTTCCTGTCGTGCACCAGGTTTAGGTATCCATGGGAAAGTTTTCCAGGAAATCTCTCTGATGTGTTACAAAAGAACCAGGATGTTCAGAGTTTGCAGGATGGGGGAGCAGGTTGAGGGCAGCAAAGCTGAATTGTTGGTCCCAATTCCCTGCCGCGGATTTCACACAAGGTTTTTTTAACCTTAACAGTCCCGAATGCTACAATGTTACAAAGGGCCTGTCGCTTGTAAGAGGACATGACATTCTCTGAAGCCATAAAATACAATAGAGAAGACAATGTACCATACAATGCTGTGGCACTATGAATGCATGGTGTCATTGTTCTCTGTATGAGTAACAATGGACTAAACCTAGCCAAAAGTAGTAATCTGTAGCCCTAGGTCCTTCAGGCTCAGAGTGTTTCATAGTATTTTGTAGTACTGAGTACTCTAAGTCAAACAACGCCCGGTATTTTTAGGGTTAATGCATTTGTGTTGTTTTGTGTGTGTGAGTTTGTTTCTGCATTCAATTGGGGACCCTGAACAATAGAGGACAATAAGGTCCCCGATTGACAGAAGGTCCCCGGTTGACAACTGTGTACAAAACATATGGGTGGTCTTGTAAAAAAGTTAAAGTACAAACAAAAGAGGAACAATAGGGGGTCCCCAGTTGCAGGCAAATACATGTACACACTTGAGTGTGTGTGAGTTTGTTTCTGCATTCAATTGGGGACCTTGAACAATAGAGGACAATAAGGTTCCCGATTGACAGAGGGTCCCCGATTGACAACTGTGTACAAAACATACGGGTGGTCTTGTAAAAAAGTACAAACAAAAGAGGAACAATAGGGTGTGCCCAGTTGCAGGCAAATACACACTTGTGTGTGTGTGTGTGCAATACTTTACATGTGCATACACACTGAATTATACATGGGCACTGTTGTACTTTTTCAGCAGGTCATTACGAGTACTTACAAAATACATTGCTTGCAACGGTGGCTTCAACAGGATATTTGATGTGTTTTGCTCTATGATAATAAACCTCAACTGTGGCCTGTACTTCATACATGTATAGGGTGCCTGAACCTTTATGACTGTACGGTTTGCCTTACATGTACACCTGTATGTGTGATTTGCCATTGGAAAATTTTTCATAAAGTTCACTTGTTTGGATAAGAAATGTCTTGTGCCAGAAACAGAGATATTTTAACGAGCTGCCAAAACTATTATACGAGTCTATTTTCCTTTCCCATTTCAAATTGTTGATTTAAACTTTTCACACTGCTAAATTGAGCGTGAATGAAAGGAATGCACTAACAAGATAACACCAAGAGGAAGGAATAATGAAACAATGCATAGAACCAAAGAGAGTTCAGTCCACGGCTAGAATTTTTTAAAACCTTTTTTGTTGTTTTAAGCAAATCAAATTAGGTTAGCTGTCATCAGACGGCCGGCCCGGCCGTGTCCAGTACTCCATCATTCCCCATACATCATTCACAAGTTGCTAATTTGAGAGCCAAAAGAATTTTGCTGCTAATAATACGCAAAGGTAAACACAACCTTTCAGGAGCAACCCAGGGATGTCAGGAGGCAAAAAATGGGCTGGCTGGCCCCGAATGACGTACTAGCATAGTACAGGGTAATGGAAGAAACTAATGTAAACTTGTATCCTTGGAGACACAGAAAGAGAGAGAGTGCGAACTGGGTTTTGAAGTACCAGTGTCCCCTCCGTGAATCAGTGAGTCTCTTTTTCAGAGGCCTTGCTCATCTGCATATCATTTCAACCCATCTTGAACCCAGTCTCGGTTTAGGTATGGACCTGGTTGCATTTGTCATGGATCACACTGTGAATTTGGAATGTGCTTGAAATGCACAAAGAAGGTCCACACATTAGATCAAACACATGTTTAGCAATATTGAACCAACGCTTTAATAATACGTGTACACTGTAGTTAAAGATGCATGGGTGTGCTTTGTTGAATATCTTGTCAACTTGCTTGTTCATTCTTAGCACCGACTATTTTATTTTTTTTGGGCTGTTCTTGCAAGCCATGGTGGTAAATTTGAAGTGAGGGTCAATTGTGGCATGCGCTATTTTGGGGAGGGTGGGTGATTGGCTTTCAGCTTTGTCCGGCAAGACATCCACATGGCAGTGGATGCAGTGTGAATGCACAATAAACGTGTCTACAAGTGATGGCTTGTTGCAGTCAATTTTTCAAGTTAAAAGACCCAGTGAAATTACTGATGATTGACATTGGCACATGTAGGTCAAGAGCGGGTGGAGAACAAGCCAATCTTTCAGCCACAGGAAACCACGAAGGTCCTTCTAAACTTAGTGAAATTTATTTCAGAATGCGACTGCCAGTGAATACTCAAACTGTTTGTGATTATGGTAATAATGCATATGAAGTGTATTTTGTTTTTCCTTTTACGTACATGTATGTACATGTACATTACTGTAAAGTAAGCCATGACATGTTCCTTCACACATGTACAGTACATGTACACGCGCATCCATGTACACGGAAATAAGATGAACAGCAATTTGTATGTGACTGCTCACTGATTGGTCCATCACTGATTGGTCCATCACTGATTGGTCCATCACTGATTGGTCCATCACTGATTGGTCCATCACAGATTGGTCCATTTATTACTACTCCTTCCACATTTTTATGCACTGGTTTTTGCTACATGCGGCTTGTTTTTTTCGCTCTGATTTGTAGGTGAGAACACACACCATGTTCACCCACTACTCAGGGGCTACAAGTCGGCCGTCCTCTCCCACTACCCGGCAGCCGTAGAGGGGAACCCCTTTGATAGCGATGGAATTAACATGGTAAGAGTTGTCTTGGGTCTTGGATGGCATGTGGGAGGGAAACTGCAGTACTGAGCAGGCACTGAGAATGGGTGTAATTTCTGACTCAATTTTCTTTTTGACAATACCCCCGCTAAGATTTGGACTGTAAAAATCCCTTCACAGAATCTATTCATTGGTTCAGAGTGTTGGAGAGGGAGGATTTATAAGAACTGCATGTAACTTTTTTGGATTGAGGTGGGGTGGAGTAGGCTGGGACCAGTTTATTCAATTCATGCATGCATTGAGGTTCTGATTTTCAGACAGGTTAAACTTAAAGTTGTGAAACAAATGTTAAAAATTTAGAAGTTGTTCGGAAATATTTCTTGTCTTATTCTACCATGATCTAATTCCGGTACCATTGCGCCCTGAACTGGAACCTTCAGGGATGACTTCATTATCATGTGGATACCCACGGTACCTTCACAGGAAACGGCTTATTCACTCTTTTTTGTGGTTGATATTATAGTAGTGCAGTCCAGAATTTGGCTCACAAATCCCACATTATTGAGAGGGCAACGTGGCCCCCACTGAGCAAGGAGAAAGATTGGGCATTCTTGTGGTCAGAGCATGGGGAATGCGGGCTTGATTCCTGCTGTGGTTTGGCAGGACTCTTGCCTTTGGGAAGGCTTGCTGCTTCAACTGGAGCAAGATGAAAGCTCTCCTTTTCCAAAATAAATACCAACCTGTGAGAGGTGTGTTGGTAATCGCAGGGATTCCACTCAAGTATGTGTGTGGTACCGGTAGGCCTGGCAGTAATCCAGCATGGCTGAGCTTCCCGGTAGGCCCAGAGCTTGTATGATGTGATGATTTACTCGGCGTTTGTCCACTCGCAGAGCAAGGATCTTCGCCTGTGGCTCACTGTACATGTACATGTACATACATGTACATTGAGGCACTCCACATTTATAAAGCAACACTTGTTCCCATAATGTCAGTTTCGGTTAATTAAGAACATGGGGGGGGGGGACATCACGGTTATTATCAAATGTGATAAAATGAGATTATACCGGTAATTCTTTTCTAAACGTTTGAATGGCATACATGCACAATATCTGAACAAACTCACAGGTTAATGTTTTTGGACAGAATTTGCATCAACTTGAGACATTGTGTACAAAAGAGTTAGCTTCCAAGACCAAGTTGGGAAGGCAGAGCCATTCATTCACCTCCCCCCCGCCCCCAAGAAATCATCAGTCCCAGACCTATCCGCACCTGTTATATTTCTTTGAGGGTCATGGTTGCTTTGGAGTCATTAAATGTTGCCTGCTTGAGTGAAGAAACATGTTTTTATGTCGGTGTGTTAGTGATAACATCTACATGTGCATTCAGTCATAGCTGATGTGGCAACATTTCGTGATCTGGGCATTTTTTTTCTCCACAAAGTATCAGGCTGTTTAGACGTACACGTACAGTACCTACTGTAGGTTCCTTTTTGTAGTTGTGCATGTTCTGTACATGTACTTGGGGTGAGCATGCGTGAGGTACTGTATTGCGCATGTATTTGTAACCTGGAAAAATGGCACGCTATGGGGGAACTCGCAGAACAGCAAAAAGCTCTAACTAAACCAAGGATCTTTGAGGGAAAGGTCAACGGAAACCAAAGTAAGAAGGACTCAGACACAAACTTTAGGTTTAAAAAACAAACAAAAAGGCAAAAGAATTTATTTACAGAGACAACCAGATGAAAAATCAACAACTTCCACCGGACTTAAAAAAAAAAAGAAAGAAGAAAATCCATTAAAATTTGACCAAAACCTGAAATTTAGAAATGAAGAACCTTAAAACCCCATAGTAACCATCACGGTGTGTATGAGTATACACCAGACATCAATCTGTACAAAAACAAAAGAAGTAAATAAACAACAACATAATTTCTTGTGCAAAGACTAGATAGTACTGGAAGTGAGAACAGGAATTAACATGTCCCGAAACTAAGAATTGTGCACAGGTCTGTGGGGCTTATTAAGTGTTCAAATCCCATGGCAAGTCCAAATAAACAATCAACCAAGGAAGAGAAGACAATGGAAGGCATGTTCTGAGGCGAATGGATGGAAATATTAATGTGTCACTAATATACAGGTACTTAGACCAAAAAGAGTAAGAAAGCTAAGAAAATGTGAGAAAATCAAAGAAGTAGAGATCTAAAAGTTAAACATAAGTGATATATGCTTATAGTGTAAGCCTTCTATACATAGAAGTTGACACAACTTTCACTGCCAGAGACTACCAATGCTTTCCACAGATGAAATTTGCATGATGGATTACTTTGAAGTATGAAAAGGAACAGCAGGAGGGGAAGAGAAATCATTGAACCTAAATATTACGTACACCTACGATGTACTTCAACCTTGTTTTGGATTGATGGGTCACATTTGTCAAAGTGACTAAGCTCTCAAGTAGAGTTTAAGAAAATGTGTGTGTATCATATTTTGATTTGCTGCAGTCCTGCAGCTTTTCAAGCCTCCCAGTGAAATGCCATGAGCTGCCTGAAATGTCTAGACACTCCAAAAATGTAGGCTCTAATGAATATTTCATGTGTTGGAGTTCAAAATTAAATTGCCAGGGTGGTGCGCATTGAAAAGGCCACAGTTCAACTGATTGGGCAGACTCGTCTGTTGCCAGGCACAAAAACCCCAAGAGTGTCTCATGAAAGGGCTCTCTCCTAATCCGCTGTTGGCAAACCAGCAGGATGCTCGATTAACCAGGATTTGGGTAAAAGGGATAGATGAGACTTTCCAGATCCAAGGCTGTGTTGAGTGGGAGCTCTCCGGAGGCAGAGGGCAAACCGAGACCAGGCGATGTCTTACAGCTGGTATTGCAATTAGAACATTGGTGGATGATGAAGTCACTTGGATCTCCGGTCTACATGTATGCTCTGTTTTATGCTTTTTTTTTTTTAATACCGGGAAGTTAACGATCCTTGTCTTGCACATGTGTGACAGTTAATCCCGTAAATGTCAAGCAGATGGAAATTTGGCCCGAATGACTTTAGAAAAAAAATAGTTTGTGTGCCAGGGTTGAGTTCATAAGAAGCATTCCTGTGAGTAATAAAGATTGGCTTTCTACATGTATGTACATGTACATGCCCTACAAGTGGATACATATGGCACGTCTACAGTGTTATTGTAGGGTGTATCTTAGAACAAGCGCATGTACTTTCTTCAGAACTCGATGATTACATTGTACATGTATGTCAGCAGCACATGCTTCACTGCGAGGAAACTTCTCCTGCAGGTGGATGGCTATCCCCTCAAGATACATGTAGGTGGAGTAAAGTGGATGAGGCACCGGGTACAGTACATGTAGTCCTCAACAAGATTCGGATTGTGTCGATTGCTGTGCATATTGCAGATCCTACATGTACATGTACCTTCCCTGAAGTTTGAACTTGAAAAGGCGCAGCCACCAAGTGCATGTATTCTAAGAGTGAAGAGCCAGTTTTGTGGATGTGAAAATATTTGAATAAGCTGACCTCTGTGCCAGAGGTCCAACACAACATCACCGACAACACACCGACTGTCCTGAGATTCTGTTTGGAGTGAGAGATTGAGGCTGTGTTAAGATGAACTTCCCCCCTCAATTCATTGTTGTGTAATTGTTTAATGACTTTAATGGAGGCTTCAGCAATTCACTCCAGAACATAAACAGTCAGTCTGCATACAGGTACATACATGTACCGGTAGGGGCAAGGACGGGTTAAACCGCGGTTACTGCCCTCAGATGCTCATACACGCTAATGCCCGCATTGGTTTTAGTTCATACATGCAAAATCCAACAAGTTTGTGAGCTAGACTACATGTACAATGTAGGTCTTGATCTTCAAGTCTACCACTGTGAAGTTGACCACAGTCCTGTGGTAGCGAATATTGCTGTCAGACTGCACTCTAGAGTATTTAAAAATATGAGGTTTGGGTTCAGAATTGTTGTACGAATTTCACTCGGGTGACTCCCGCAAGTCAGTGTTTGTTATGTTTGGTTGCATATTAGAAGTTGTCTCTGTATCTGGCCTATTCGATGGTCAAATTAAAACCGTCTGGAAGTGGTTAATGATACAGATATATTCATTATTTCTCTCTCCCTCGTCAGCTGTGCATGCCCAAGGGCCTGACGGTGCGCACCCAGAAGCAGGACCGTGAGCCGAAGTTTCATTCCTTCCTCATGACCCGGGAGGATGGGTCACGCACCTACGGAGCGGCGCTTACCTTCTATGAGCAGGCCACGTCACCGCGCATCTGCGCAGCGATGGAAGTCCTGCAGGTAAGGGCACCTTTGTTCTGGTTGGTAGTTTGCATTGATTGTGTGAGTTTTTGTAGGTACGGGAAGGGGGAGGAAGAAGACAGGTGGTACAGAGTAAACCCTAATCTTCCCAAACCTTTACATATCCATCGGATAGAAATGATTTTGTAGGATCCAGGAAGGGTGACGCAAGCTACTGTTACTTGTACCTTGGCTTGATGTTCCTTGAGTTCAAGTGAAATTAAGTTACACATAACCTCGGAATTCAGTAGAGTGGAGGGTTCTGACAATTCCCCTCAAAATTGTCAGTGGAGGATGTAGGACAAGAATTGGATTTTACCTCAAAACCTTCGGACACCCTGATTATCTGGCAGAGATAGCGTGATCCATCAGGATGAAAAGCATGCACTTAAGGAAGTCGGTTCTCAAGATAACAGTCAGCCTTCAGCCTTGGCTCTACTGAGGATGATTGTTGACATAGTGTTACTGATTTACCACCTCTGCTTGTTCTGTAAATTGAATGATTAGTGTTACACTGAAGCTGATCATGCGGTTTCCAAGTTGGCAGTAAGTCTGATCACAGATGCTTTCCTGTGGCTTTCTGGTCTCAACATAAATCGGCACTCCATCAATTTTTACTATTCATAACGTCAAGGATGATTGATGAAACTTTGAGTGTGTCAGAACAAGTGTTGACTAAAACGCTGTCTGTTAATGAAGCTGTAGTTGAAAGGTAGCCTGTTCATTTTGCATTTGCACTTTCCATTTTCCAAGAAACAGCCTGCATTACCCCTCCCTGCTGCTTTTGTTTAGAACTGCTTATTGTTTTGATGGAGACAGAGTCAGCATAACCGCTTTTTGGGCCGAATCAGGAAAGAGTGCTTACTTCAGCCCAGTTCAGACATCTCTCTGTTATTTGAATTACTCCCAGATTAAATACCAGGAAGACTCCCTGCGCCGCAAGATGAGCAACATCGAGTCGCCCTCACGCTCCCAGGTCATCCTGGAGAGCCTCTCGCCTAAGATGGACCGGCGGGGCTTCTCCCCCAAGCACCGGCGCTCCTCCAGCCCCGGTATCTCCACCATGCAGTCTCCCAAGATGAGACGCAAGACCACGCCAGTCCACGTGCCTGGGCAACAGAGGAAGGTGGCCAACTTTGACCCCCTCAATGACACCCTCTACGTCTCCAAGTGTGTATGTCTGATCATGCAGGTAGGTCAACACGGCTGACTCATGAAATGCATATGTGGCGTGAGAACTGTAGAGAGTGTTCTTTATCCTAGTCACGATTGCCAGATGGGACTTGTGTACTGGAACGTATGTATACATTAGATCTTGATTAACATTTATGTGTAAACAGTACGTAAGTTTTCACAGCTGGTTTTTATAACTTCATATCTAAAGTGTTCACTTGTCAGTAGTTGTGTGAAACGAATCTGCATAGCCTTTAAAGGTTCCTCAAAGAAATTGGGACACAGTTTCAGTTTTCTTGTGTAGTATGAAGTAGGTGTACACATTTTAATGCTTCCGGCATGTAACTGCCTACTTTTACCCATTGTCATCGATGAGAAATTTGAGCAACCATTCCAAAACCAAACATAAGCAGCAGGATTGTCCGTAGGTGAAAGAGTCTTTTATTTACCAAACTGCATTCTTCACTGGATGAGGTTGAATGAGTTGTAAAGCTGGAAAGGCAAAGAATTACTTGCTTCAGCCAATATTGAGGTGGTTGATGACACACTTCCTGTATGGCTTCTGAGGCGTTCTTGATCTTCAAACTTTGACTCCTTCCATCGTTCTCCTGTCCCCAGGTCCCCTTCATCCAGCCTTGCCGTCGCTTCCTGGAGGCCATCCACAGTGCAATCAAGGCCATGGCCGCTCCCCCTCTGCCTCTTGAGTCCTACATCTACAACATCCTCTACGAGGTGCCGGGCTTGCCCCCGGGGCGCACCTTGAGCTTCAGCAGCGCCCCAGGGGAGACCGTGGTCTGCCAACGGCCGGCCAGCACCGAGCTGCCCCTGTGCGACTACTCCATGCGGGAGTGCGTAGAGCTGCTCGGTGTGGAACATCTGATGGAACTGATGACGTGTGCTCTGCTAGAGAACCAGATACTCCTGGTATCCAGAGGTAGGTCAAAATTTTCCTTATTTAAAAAAATTTGTTTGAGAAATGAAAAAGCAACAACTTTGACGTCTGAGGTACACGTAGGTCTGTAGTCCAGTCCGTCTCAAGCCTCTTCAAGTCCATCACAAGTGATCCAGTCTTAATCCTAGTCCCATCCTGATCAGATGTGTCCCCTCGCCGGCCAAGACGAGACAGGCTTGTGAGAAGTTTTCCATTTGAGCTTGTGTTCCATTTGAACTTGTGGTGGAGGAGCCCTGATCTTGTACATGTCAAGATATCTGATGTATTGGAGTGTTGCCTGGTCAGCCGTTCCCTTTTCAGTAGGATAATTCACAAGTATCTGTCCTTAGCACAGAATATTGCTTCCACATGCTGGAGGCATAATACCTGCCTATATTGCCCTTCCACTTCCAGTGGGATGATGGACAATTTCTTTGTACATTTGTTCCACAGAGTATCATCGTCTGATGCTGGTAGCAGAGTGCATCTCTGCCTTACTCTTCCCGTTCCAGTGGCAGCACGTCTACGTTCCTATTCTTCCGGCAAACCTAATGCACTTCCTGGATGCGCCCGTGCCTTTCATCATGGGGCTGCACTTGGACGACGGAATGGACCAAACCAACCAGCTGGAGATCCCCAGCCATGTGAGTTTGCCTCCAGCCAGGCCAACATCACTTTATGTCCAACCTGGCAGAATGAGATGGATGTCACCACAGCTACTTTTTGAGTTGAAGACCGTTGAACTATTGCTTAGTATAAATCAATTGGAGCCTTCAACATAAAGTCCTGTTTTTTTAGTGATACAAGCCCAGTTGGGTTATTGAAAAAAATTGAACATTAGATATATTTTCTGGGATCCGGTCACAAATATTCAACAGTTTTGGTTAATGGTATCATTGACATGCCAAGGCACTCCTTGCAGACATGAAACAGCCATGAAAAATGTGGTCGCCACAGTTTGTTTAATGAGATGAAAAGGGTCTTTTGGAGTTATGGAAAACCCAGAAAAAAGTACTGTTTTAGAAAGTATAATATAGGGCTGGTGTTGAGAGAAATGCTTTGTAAGTGACCTGAGATACTTCAGTCAGGTGTTGTGTCTGCCGATTAACATTCCTTATTCCTACAATATACTTGGTCATATGGCCCAGGGTACTGTTAGGGCTCATGTAATTTAGAATTATATTGAATGACATCAGGGAAATACTTCTTGAAAAAAAGCGAGGTCACAATTGTCTGACATAAAATGCTTACCATTATTAATATTTTCTTGTCAGGCTGCCTTGTGTTTTGTGGACATTGACAACAACTGTATCGACCTCCCAGAAGATTTACCCCTCTTCCCAAACAGACACCGTGTTGTCCATGACCTGATCAACCTTCTACAGCGCTATAATGTCTCGCCTAGACCCCTGTCTGAGAAGACCCCAACACGCACCCCTACAAGGGGTGAGGGCAGTTTTGACTGGTCTGAACTCAAGACGGAGCTCACCCTGATTGGCACGGGATCCAGCCGCAACCTGGCCGTGGAGGGCTCCATCGAAGCGGACCAGGACAGCTCCTACTTTAGTTCGCCCAGCCGTGGTGAGTCGCCAACCTCTGTCGCGCCGACCAAGACAGACATCCTGCGTAACAACGAGATTGTCTCCAAAGTAGCGGCCATCGTGCAGCGCACGGGTGTCATCACATCCATCAGTGAGCTAGAGGACAGGAACAGTAACACCACGTCTCCCGACGGGGACACCAACCCCGAGACGTGGAGTCCCGTGCTCAGGAAAGATGTGGAGGAGCTGAGTCTGAACTCTGCCATCAGGGAACTCTTCCTCAGCAAGCTGGTGGAGCTTCTCAGACACTATGAGACATTTGTCATCCAGCCTACTAGTCACAGCATTGAGTCGTGGTTTGCCAACAGGGAACACATGCAGAATTTTGACAAGGTAAGAAAATATAGGCAACCGACCCCACACCAATTTGACCAGATTTGATAATGTTTACATAAAATATCTTAATATATGCCAGGAATGGTCCGTTATCTACTTTTGGACTAATTTGTTACCCTAAAATATCAGAAGATTGAAGAATGTTCCAACGAGAAAATCTTTAGTTATAAACTGGAACATCCATGAGAACACACTGAATTCCCACCAAGACCACAGTGTTCCCAAAAGGAGCTTCCCAGCTGTAACAGGAACATTCCAACTTTCGAGATGCTTCCTACGGTTAACTCCTTACGCTTCATGTGCCCAGTGTCGAAATGCCACAAATCCTGCCCTAACTTAATAGAAAGACCTGTACTTCAGGAGCAATTCTGTGTTCCCGTAAAGCTCAAAGGGTCAAATGAAGTATAAACTTTGCAAATTTGTTTGTTTCTGTTCGTAGGCATCTTTCCTATCGGACCAGCCGGAAGCCTACCTTCCTTTCCTCTTTCCCTTCGTGGAGACGCAGATGTTTGCCACCTTCATCGACAACAAGATCATCTCCAACTGGGAGGAGAAGGAGGAGCGGCTGAAGATCTTTGACGGCCGGATCGAGCACTTCCCCGCCAGCAATCCTCAGACTCCTACCACCGAGGTGGACCAGCTTCTACTCATCAGTGAAGCAGGTAGAGCATCAGTCGTTGGCGCAGGGCTATAATAAGCGGGACTCGGACGCAGTCATATAGTGCCGTTGTCAGGTCCATCACAAAGTCCTCTCACAAGTCCGTTCTCAAGGCCACTTGCAAGTGCTTTTGCAGGACCCATCATAAGTATAAGGATGAACTGTGACTCTGAGCTTTGAATAGCCTGTGACTTGGGCTAACATTTGAATGACTTGTGATAGACTTGTGATGGACCTGCAGGAACTTGGTATGGCTTGTGACGGACTCGACTTCGGCACTGCCATCACCACCTGTAAGGATGTTGTGGCAAATTGGGTCCTCAACCTGCCGTAGCATTTCAGCCCCAAACTTTAGTGTGCTATGAGGATGCAATGAAGGTGTGCTGGAACTTGTGTACAGTGGTAATACTTTACAGGATAGTGGTCAGTTTGCTCTGCATATCTCTGTCACGTATTGCTTGGTCTCGACAAACCTGACACATCACTGCTTCTTAGTACTAGATACCCTCTGGCATGGAGAGAGTAACTTGCACATATTCTATTCAGCATGTGCCTTTTTGTTTAGATCTCTTGCCCTACTCTGCCTATGAGTAAGGCTTTTTTTCCTGACAAGTATTATAAAGTAATGAGCCAGTTGTCATTTTAGGGAAGATAGATATGGATATTAACACTATGTGTTTTGTATGCGCTTTGAACATGATGATATCACAATGTCGCTATGTTGTTTCATGCTGTTTTATTTGTATGACATCATAATAAAAAACAGCTCGATGAATTGTAACTTCCAATTTTGCAATTTTCCCTCAGAGGGTGTGGTTTCATGTGTCTGCTTGTACATAAATGGAAGCCACTGCCTAAAGTCCTTTGTAGCTTTGGAATGTCTTTGTTTTTTTTCCCAGGACTTGAATTTGAATATTATTTGAAATGTTTGTAATCTTTTGAAGGTTACTCACATCCAAGTCTTGTGTCAATTTACAAAACAGAGGCCAACATCCGGCAACGTGCTGTGAATATCGACTACACGGCTCCCAGCCCCCATGAGCTGACCAGCAAGCCAGTGGACAACAACCACAAGCCGGGCTTCTTCCCACGACTGCAGGAAGAGGTGCTGCTGAAGGAACCCTTCACACCAAAGTGAGTCTGCCTTTTCTGTCTGTCAGTCTGTCCATCTGTCTACTCGCTGCCATGCCTGCTTTATTTAAGTCTGTTATTTTCTTGTATGTCATAGCAGATATGAATTATCTTAGAACAGGAAGGATGTGGGATGATTGTGCCTTTTTCTGGTGAAATTGTTCCTTTTATTTTCTGGTGGATGTGAAACCACAATTGAAAATGATACACATAGTTGATAGCTTGTTTTTCTTCCTGGCTGATGTGTTGGTGATCTTTCCTGTTTGTGGCTTTGTTATATGCCTCGCTAATGGTCTGGCTGATTAACTTATCGGTCAACGTTATTTTTTCAACTGAGAAAATTGACCACAGGTGGCCTTGAATCTGCAGCTTCTTGACACTGCATTGTCACCGTACCAACTGAACCACTCAGCCCCTCCCCCTATGTTAGATGAATACCTTCTCTTAACGCCCATTTCCCAGGTTTTCTACCTCAACAATTCTGCCAGTGCCGTGGCATTTTTTGCATTATGTATGCGAACCTTTTGGTGTGATGCCAACATGCGTTACAGGAGAGCAGGATTCCATAATGTCTAACACTGCAAAACAAGGATATTAACAAACTTTGGAATCTGTCAACATAGGACCGGATAGCACAGTTGGTAGATCCCAGATACATTGTTCTTACATCCAGGTTCGGATTCCACTTTAGTAAGTTTTCTCAAATCCATCCATAGAATCAAATCTAGTGTGCCCTAGTAATAGGTTGATGATTTTTTGGTTTCCAATTTGTAGTGGAGCGAGGGTTTGTCAGTTCTTTTGTAGTGTCATCTATTTTTTGCTGTCCAATCAGAAACAAGCACAGGAATAATGCTCCATGGAGACGGAAGGAGCGACAGCAACAGCACTCAGAGCATCTTCAGCTAGCTCCGCAGGAACGAGAGGTAAGGGACAGGAGGATTTGGTTGAGCTAGGCACCCTCTTCCGTTATGAATGATAAGTCATGCAATAAACTTGCAAAACACTTCACTCATTTGACTGAAAATTACACTGAAAATAGTATAACACGTAGAATCTACGTTTTCCTTTACTTCTCAAATGTACAAAACTCTAGTAGCACGGTCAGACAATCAAATGCAAATTAAGGCATAAGTACCTTACAATCCAGAAACCAGCCAAATAATTGAAATCAAGCAGATTAATTTAGACAGATTAAGGTTAAAAAGATACATGTAATTAGGTATTAGTCGGGTGAAGTTTTTTTTCCAAAAACTTGCCACTTTATTATACCATTTTTATGTATAAAGATCCTTAAAGTGAGATTATAGTGTCACATTACAGCTGCATGTTCAAGATGAAAATGAAGAGTTCATCTGAGGAAATTCTTTCAATCCTAGCTTTCTGTCTTTATCACTTTGTCCAGCAAATTATTCAGCAGGCCAGGAAGGGAACAATGCCTCAACCTGTCTTGTCCCATTTAGACCAGAAGCAGACCAACTGGAAGTTTGTGGAGGGTCTCCTCAAGGAATGCAAAGTGAAGGTCAGTTAAGAGATCTGCTACGTAGTGACACCAGTCAACTCCAAATAAGGGAATAAATATGCGCATGGCTGGTCTTAAACGTGTGTTTAAGACTGGCTCAGGAGAATGGATGGGACTAATGCCCAAGCCACAGGTGAGGGCATTATCATGAGCACGGTCGATATATCAATACTATTGATATGGGATCGATATCGATATCGCCAATGTTAGTTATTTGGTAATATCAATATATCCAAAATATCAGATTGTGGAGAAATATTGGAAATATCAAAACTTGGAAAACATTGATATTGAAAAATATATCGGAAATGTCGGCTACTGAGGAACAAACTTTATTTAAAAATATGAAAGTGCATTGTTACACTATCGTAATGTTTGATAAGCCATGGCTTAGGTTGGTTCTCAAGCTGAATGAAAAAGTCCCTGTAGCTTATACTCCAGGCAGCTTATACGGCGACATTTGAAGAATAAATTCAGTCACTTATCTCAGTCTCACACTCAATAATTCGCATACACTTTGCCTCGAAAATATCACAAAATTTATCCTCTAGAAGAGAGAATTATTTGCTAACTAAACGTATGTGGACTTACACCACGTGCTGATGATATCGCTATGCACGGCAGTGTGTATCCCATCCCATGTAGGCAACGTACGCAATACAGATGGTAGAACGTGTCGCCAAAGGGAATTGGATCACACCATTACGGTGTAGGGGTGTACCCTGAAAACAATTTACCAGCAATTCAGGCCTGGTATAATACCTTGAAAATTAAAATGAATAAAATTTGATATATTGATAATATTGATATAAAAAAACGATATATCGGTATCGGCCAAAATACGACAGCGACGGTGCTGACATTATCAGCATTCATTCTTCTGAGCAAGATCTTAAGACGGGCCAAACACATATTTATTCCCATCCATAAATACCTTGTTATTCAGAGAGTCAAAAGAAGTCAATGATATTGTTCTTACATTTTACTTTCATTTTCCCAAACACCCCTCCGTCCATTTTATGGTATATTCCTTTTGAAAGTTGTCCAATAGAGCCTCCTTGTATATTAACTTGGCACGCTCGTGGTGCATTCTGCATGATGCATCGCACGCAGACTTGTATCCAGGTACCAGTGCGTGATTTACGCAGTGGGCATTATCACTTCTTGGCAGGCATCATTATATGTTAATACACCGTAAAGTTGCATGATGTTGAATAGGGAGACTGTCTGACGTATTTATGAATAAAACTAAAGCAAATTCAACTTAAGCCTAATACACCCTTGGCAAGACTGATGCACTCTGTACTTTGCTAAAATTTGTGAAAAAATTCCAAGGAACTTATATCCGATCATATATTTTCTGGACTTGAGATGGAGTTTGTGGCGGAGAAATCTTGAGGCATTGTATAAAGGCGAAGGAGGTCATGACAGTACCATGTAGGAAATGTCGTCTGTGATTTGGCAAGTGTCTTAAAGTGTCTGAATTGAACTGAAAAACTGCAGGTTTCTGGCTGTGTGCTCTTGCTTGTCGCCAGAAAACAGTTCAACATCACTGACCATGTCATAGGATCTTCATGGAAATATGCTGTGTTCATTTCCTGGAGAATTGGGAACAAACTTTTGTAGTTCACATGCTGTAAAATGGACCACCCTCTTGAAATGTTGGCAGACCAAGAAGATGCTGGTGAGCAAGATGGGTCAGGAGGCAGTGGAGCTGGGCCACGGTGACGTCAACCGGTCAGGCGTGGAGGAGAACACACTGATTGCTTCACTGTGTGACCTACTGGAGAGAATCTTCAGTCACGGCATACAGAAGAAACAGGTGGGTAGACAGGGGAATGGAAGGGGGACTAAGGCCATAAAAGGAAAAAAAAGAGAGTTGTGTTATGAGTACAAAACCCTACAAAGACGTGCTAGATAGAGAAGTTGAAATCACAGCATACAGAGAAAACCAGAATTGTGTACATGAGAATGGGAAACCGGTCAGAGAAAAGAAACAGTTGTGTCTACCGGCCTCAATTTCTTGCAGTAGCCCAGTGGACTGGTTGACTATTTGAAGTTTGAAACTGTGACTGTTATAACACGTCTTCTTCCCTAGAACTTGCCCCACCCCTACAATTTTTGTTTGTGTGTAAAAGCCTCATGATGTATAAATCCAAACCTGGGTTGCACCATTGCCTTACAGGGGAAGTCAGCTCTCTGGTCCCACGTCATGGGCTACCGTAAGATGAAGGAGAAGCGAGAGACCCATCCAGAGCAGAGTCTTTCAGTCCCAACCCAGGGGTCCGAGGCCAGACGGCGGAGCAGTTCAGCAGCCGACCCAGTCCTCAGCCCACTACCCACAGATTTACTCTTTGACGTCAGGTGAGTGTTGCACTGACTCCGGGAACTAGCGTGTCCATTGTCCTCATTTAGTTTTCTCCGTCCTCATTTAGTTTTCTCCGTCCTCATTTAGTTTTGTCCTCATTTAGTTTTCTCCGTCCTCATTTATTTTTCTCCGTCCTCATTTAGTTTTCTCCGTCCTCATTTAGTTTTCTCCGTCCTCATTTAGTTTTCTCCGTCCTCATTTAGTTTTCTCCGTCCTCATTTAGTTTTGTCCGTCCTCATTTAGTTTTCTCCGTCTTCATTTAGTTTTCTCCGTCTGTCCTCTATCACTTTGATCAACTGGTTAATCTTTGCCTCAGAGCAGATCGCATTCATATTGGGTAATGATAGGCCCTTTGGATCAGCCGACCGACATCATTTGCCTGGCTTGTTGTTATCAAGAACTGCATGTTTTGCATTACACATCAGTGAGTCAAGACCACATTACTGATGATTCTGATTTTTTTCTAAATTTCCCTTCGTCACCAGAAATGTTGAGAACATGAGCCAGATCAAGACAGATGTTGGTAACGCCCGTGCCTTTGTCCGACTTGCCTTAGAGAGAAAACTCCTCCATAAACACCTCAAGCTGTTGCTAACAGACTACGAGCTGTGCAAGTGAGTCCCTGCTATTTTATGATTGGGTTGGAGGAGCAAGTAAAAAGCAAGTAAATCACAGAAAGGAATTCTCCTTCATTGTGTTTTCGTATAACTTGGATGTTTGTGATGATACTACTTGTAAGCTTGACTTTGTACTCCCTCAGGAGGCAGACATTTTGGGGAAAGCCGTGCTCGGAAAGCAAAGAGATGCTCTTCCCAAACTTGTGTCCGGTCGGAAAGAGTAGAAACGTATCTCAGCCCACACTGCAAGGTCTATGCAGAAACGAGCAAAGTGACCTATAGACCTTTTTCACCCATGTGGCTAAATGTAAACAACACCACCAAGTGTGGACCGCCTTGGCCACGGTGATCGCATCTATTCCTACGGGCAGCTTCAACCACGTGCAAGCACACGTATGAACGCTGCATGCTTGACTAGTTTACCTTGAATAAGTAGATTACCATCACAACACTATGCACTCATTACCATCATTACACATCAGAGGTCCAGCACGATCGTGACATCACAGGAAAAAGGTCTATAGACCGGCAGTCTGTCATGTCATTTAAGTGGAATAGCATCAGACGATTGTTGTCGTGGTTTGAAGGGTCAGGTTCTGAAAGCTTCAAATTGTCGTTTGAATTCTAGGAAGCGCTACAAGCGATACGCCTTCCTCCGGACAGAGGAGGAAAAGGAACAGTTTCTGTATCATCTCCTGTCCCTCAACGCTGTTGATTACTTCTGCTTCACCAACTCTTTCATCAGCACAGGTAAAACATAGAATTCAGAATCTGACATGTGCGGCACAGGTCCTTTCTTCTCTGATTGCAAAACCTTTCCTCTGGTTTGGAGTCACCCGTCTACAGAGAAAAGCTAGGCAATCTCTGAAATTTTTTTTAAAAAGTGAGTTGAGTTGGAAAGACGATACAAGTGAAGCAAGTTATAAATGAATCTCTCTTTGCTCCAAAGGATGAGTCTGACGTATCCATTGCAAAATCATATTTGTAGCCCGAAATGAATGTATTTTTGAAAGAGACCGATCATGACTTCATTACCAAATAGTCTTTTTAGTCTTTTCACTCGGACTGCAAAATAAATGCAGCTTGTTCAGGAACACGATCAAAAAACGAAAACAATGCGAAAATAATACATCTGTTCTGTCAAATTGCTGTATGATACTTGACACTTCCAATCCTTTGGTATATTTCATGCCTTCAGAAATCACACCAAGGACATATCCTTGGACTTTACTGGTGTGCTTTAATGCAATTGTCTTTGTCACACAAAGCTTCATATATGCTGCAGTCATCAGCACAAACCCATTTTTTCCATCTGTAGTTGTCTCCTACCGAGTCCTGGTTGTCACAAGTCGCAAGTTCCAAGCCGCCACCTCAGCCAACTGCTGGATCTGTGTGTCAGGCGAGATCAACGACTCCAAAATGATCCCTATACCCAAGAGCTCTCAGGATTTTGTATTCCAGGTATGTGTCTGCCACTGCGGAGGAATTTAAGACTTGAATATTGGAAGTTAGTTCTTGCATTTATCTTTTTATTATACTATTGTTGATGATGTATACACGTAGTATGACTTTTTTGAGCTTATTATATCAAGGCTTTTAAGGCTTTGAATGGACCAACAGGATGACGAATAGTGTCTTGATTTGTTTCTGCAGCATAGCAATCTTGGTATCCTGACGACGGTGCGAATCGGGCACGACAACACGGGCCTGCTCCCCAGATGGATGGTGGATTATGTGCTAGTGCGCAACGAGATCACCGGCCACACCTACAAGTAAAGAACCTTTCAATTCCATACAGTAAAGTTATCCTTTCACAGCCACAGTTAATTTCTTTGTCTTGAATCTCTTCTGCACACCCAAGCATCCGGTGTGCTGTTACTTGAAACGGAAGTGGATGTCCCATGCAATTGATTTTGCAAGTCAACTTATTTGCGTAGCAGATTTTAATATTGTTGAGCAGACTTGTTTGCAAAGCAAACTGGACCCTGAGCCAATTTTATTGAGCCAATTTGATTGAAAAATTGTTTCTCATGATATTCATGTGTTTAGCATAATTAGCTGGTGACCAGCATAATTAGCTGGTAACCAACAAAGAAGCATATATACATTACATGAATTTTTGTTTAACCACTTCCTGCCGGGGCCGTTATCAATGTTAATGAAGCTGGGGCGGGATATTTATCATTTTTTTCTGTTTCTTCTGTTCTGTTAAAAATTCCTATCTTCATTTACTTGACACAAACACGTGAAGGCATGTCTGATATCCACTCTAGCCAGACAGACAAAATCTCTCGACGCCTGAGTATTTCAGCCAGGCCTGCAGTCTTGTAAAAAGAGCCCATATTTTTTGTGTTACGTAATATTCTTTTGTTCATGAACCTGGCTCAGTGCACTGCTGATCTCTTTTCAATAGGGACCAGATTAGCATGCAGCGGTGCTGTGTGGCTCATGCCTGTGATGGTGGACCACTTTTGTACCTGGTGGTAATCCGCTCGCTCTAAATGCCCCAAACCTTGGTATACTGTTTCAAAACAAGGCTGGATTATCTCCACTTTTGAGAGAAAAAACATGTCGGTAATGCCCAGCAGCCTGGTCTTTTGTTCTGAGTACGATCTTTTGTTACAAGGCGCTGTTCCTTTTGTCCGAGTTTGGAGACCCTGGCCATGCATATAAAACGTACGTGTCCGGATCCGGAGTCCCCGGCAGGAAGTAGTTAAGCTGCTTTTGCTAAGCAAATAATTTGTGTGCTTAGTGGCTATATGCGATTGGCACTTGATTCTCTTCAGTTAAACTGTTTGTATTATGCGTGCTGTGATTTCTCTACCCTTCCTGTAAGGTTCCCCTGTGGGCGATGGATTGGGCGTGGCGTGGATGACGACAGCCTGGAACGGCTCCTGGTCGGCGACCTGCTCCCCTCCCCTGCCGAGTCGGAGGAGCAGGCCCGGGGTTCGCGGACCCCGCCCCGCTCCAGCTCCCCAATCATGTTGAGGCATGCCAAGGGGCAGGCCCCCAAGCTGGATCGGGACAGCATCCAGGAGATGCTGACCGACGCCGTCAATAACATCGTCAAGCACTTCTACAAGCCGGAGAAGGAGGTAAGTACTGCCTGGCTCACCTCCATCGTGCATGAAGATGGCCTGCTCCGACTTCTGTACGACTTGGCTGCTGTAGTTTGATTGATTGATGTGTCCTGTTTGTGAAATGGAAGGTGACATCATTGATGTCAAGCTAATACCAGCATACGAGTAACACAGATGTGCAGGATATCCTATTGAGAGAGTTTGCAATGTGTTCCACTGATCCCGATCTCTATGCTACGCATCCATGAGGGATGGAAAACCACAATGCTCTGTCCCAATGCACTGCAGCCAATGGTTTGGTTTTGCTTTAGGGTCTTTAATAAATCCGAAGATTACCCAGTGTGAGGGATAGCAAATTGCACAGATTAACAGCAGTGACAAGGTCTGTGTCATATTTGTGTCATATTTGTGTCATTTGTGTCATATTTGTGTCATATTTGTAGACTCTATCAGGGTGTGCAAAAACCCATGGAATACCTCACAAGTTTTGTTACATTTTGGTATCATTGTAAGATTAAATAACCCGCACATTCTGATTTTGTTACCCCACATGCATGGAATGTTTACTTCAACCTGTTTTGCAAGGATTAAAAAGAAAAGAACATTGCTGCAGGTTTAAAATCATAGTGTAACAGGTGGATGTCAGTACCCAAATCCACACAGGTAATTTGAAACTGCTCTTTCTTTTGTCCTCCCTCACCAGCGAGGCCGGCTGACTGTCCTACTTTGCGGAGAGCGGGGTCTTGTCCAGTGCATGGAAATTGTGCTACAGTATGGCTTCCGGTCAGCAAGGCTCTTCCGGAATAACTTCTTCATCTGGGATTTCCTAGGTATGTAAGGCAGTGCCGAAGTAGAATCCTTGCGTGAGCTTTAGAAGGCAACACGATGGATGAAAATGTCTTGGACAGTGAGGCCAAGACACTAAGAACAGGTTCAGGGTTGATTTCAACCCTAGATTCAGCCTGTTATTGACCAGGAGTCGTTTAGAAATGTTTAAATGGTCATGGAATGGAATCCCCAGGCATTAACAGCCGAAAAATGGCTGGTTGAGAGCCAGTATTCAGGTCAAGTTCTAATAGAAACTTTTAGGGGATTTCGGGACCCTGATGAGCATTAAGACTTTTTGTTGGGTCTCAGGTAGAGACAATGTACTTTTAACACTTGCTGCTGGGGAACCCCATTTCGAGCACCATGGGTTTATACACAGAGCCGGGGTACCCGAAATGGGACAAAAGAGCTGGTCCGTGTAACAAAAGACCGTACTCGGAACAAAAGACCTGCTGCTGGGAATCGCCATCATTTTTCAGCTTGCATTTTTCGAAGGTAATCCGTCACCGTTTTAAAACAGTGTACCACTGTTTTGGGCATAGCGCGCTCATGGATTAGCATCGTGTACAGAAGTGCTTCAGGGCCCTCACTGATGAGCGACACAGCACTGCTGCATGCTAATCCAGCCGCGTTTGAAAAGGTGCCACTCACATTCACTGGGGACAGAGGAAATTACGCAACGCCTCACTATTCTGGGCTCTCTTTACAGGGCAGCAGGCCTGGCTGAAATACTCAAGGGTCAATGAAGGTTGCCTGTCAGCTTATAGTAGCCACCAAACAGTCATTCGTGTGGGTGTAAATGTCCATTGAATGAAATGATGAATTTTTAAAGAGTTTTGAAAACTGAAAATCTTGAAAATCTCCCGTATGTGTGCACTGCATTTTTAAAATCACCCAGCAGCAAAATGTTCCATTTTAGTTTTTGTTCAAATGTTTTGCATATTCAGGATAGTTTCAGACAAACCAGCATATCTTAACCACTTGCTGCCGGGGAGCCTGGTTTCGGGCATGTGTTCTTTATATACACAGCTGGGGTGTCCAAAATTGGACAAAGGGAACTGGGTCTTGTAATGAAGGACCATACTCGTAACAAAAGACCAGGCTGCTGGGAATTACCAACATTTTTTTCACTGTCAATAGTGGAGATAATCCAGCATTTTTTTAAACAGTATACCACTGTTTGGGGCATTCAGTGCGAGCGGATTACCGCCGGGGACAAAAGCGCTCCACCACCACAGGGATGATCCACACAGTAATGCTGCATGCTAATCTGGCCCCTATTGAAAAGACGTCAGCAGCGCACTGTGCCGGTTTTGTGAACAAAAGAAAATTACATAACACTGCTCAATCTGGGCTCTTTTTACAAGGCGGCAGGCCTGGCTGAAATACTCTGGAGTCAATAGATGTTGTCTGTCAGATAAGAGTAGAACCAGACAGTCCTTCTTGTGGGTCTAAGTGTCCAGTAAATGTGGATATGAACTTTCAAAGAATTTTGAAAACAGAAAAAAAATTAAAAATACTCTGGCCCAGCAGAATCAACAAATGCCCCAGGCAGGGTGTGGTTAAGCGTAATTAATTATTAGAGTTAGATTAGGGCCAGTTATGAAACATAGGACTGTCCACAAGTCAATTTGCAAGCAAGCTCATAATTCAGCTTAGAACTTAAAGAGATGAGTAATTAAAAGGAGTGTTGTCTTCACAGGTAATTTTTTTAGCTGGTGGAATGACTGAGTGATTTTTGACCGGCCCCATTACAACGCTGATGATAACTATTCTCTTTGTTGCATAATCCATTCAGAGAAAGTTGCCAAGTATTTGGACAGCATCGACCAGGATGATGAGGGGCGGCTGGGGTCTGTCCAGGAGAAGCGAGCCCGACGGACGTTCTGCTTCACCGTCCACCAGATCAACCAAGGGGCAGCCCAGGCAGGAAAGGATGGAAAGTTCCAGCTCTTTGTCTGCATCGGAATAAGGTATGCATTCCTCGCCTCTCAACCCTCACTAAGTCAAGTTGGTGAAATAGAATCCACGTTAACCTCTGGCTGGATTTTAATGGATCTCGAAAGATTAGTGTTGGAGTAGTGTCCATCACAAGTCCAGTCACAAGTAACAATAGGACAAACAATGAAAACGGAAATACTTTTGCCAGAGTTCCGTTGAATAGCTTCAGACTTTGCTGAAAGGCTGAATAACTTGTGACGAACTTGCAAGGACTTTTGGTGGCCTTGTGGGGACCAGTGATGACCTTGTGGGGACCAGTGAGGACCTTGCGAGGACCTGTGATGGACTCTACTGCTACAGCACTAAAGAGGGTCAAAGAAAGTGATTGCAAAGACAGTCTCTTCTTGGTATCAAGTCATAGTTGAGAATTATGTCATGTTTTGGGGTCTTTCTCCATCTCACCAGGGGAATTTCGTCAGTTTTGTTTTGTTTTTGTCATGTTGTGTCTTTGAATGCTGTGTGGTTTGATTCTGACAGGGATCACATGTTGCATTGGTGGCTGCCTGTCCTGTCCGAGACTCCCGTAGCTTCTTCTATGTACGAGGACTACTCCTTCTTGAACTGCACCTCGGCTCTGGACTTCCTGGTCAACCTCCTGATGCAGCTGGATGAGTTCAACATCTCCTTGGAGTCGTCCATCACCAAGGGAGTGGAGTTATAGCAGACCAGCAGGCAAGTCAGCCACGCCCAGAGTTACTCTATCTCTGAGGGGTGGAGTTACAATTACCAGCAGGCAAATTAGCCACACCCAGAATTAGTCCGTCTCCAAGGGGGTGGAGTAAAACAACCAGCAGGCAAGTCAGCCACACCCCAAACTAAAAACTACTCCATCACCAAGGGGGTGGAGTTACAGCAGACCAGCAAGCACGAAAACCCCACCCATGATTAATCCATCACTAAAGGGGTGGAGTTACAGCAACTGGCATGCAAATTAACAACACCTCTGAGACCTTCATCACCAGGGACATGGCTACATTTTGGAAAAATATGGAGCTTTATACAGACATGGTCCGTGGCGTTCCAGTCAGAAGCATTTGAGAAATGCAAATACCCCCCAAAATAGCACTCGTGTGTTGGTCACAAGTGTGAAGACTGTAAAGATTGGCCCAAAGAACCTGATGTCTTCTTGAAACAGAGAGGTAGAAAGCAGGTACCTATCCCTCTGTGGTAGTGGCATGGGCATTATGTGAATTTGGGAAGGCATAAATATATTGATATTTACCCATTTCCTAGAAACAAGTCTTGTTCTTCCTAGCAGTTTGCACAAGTTTAGGGTTGCATTTGAATCCTCAACATGAAAGTCGGGTCTAGAGTTTACTGTTTCATTTGTAGGGAAACGAGAGTCATTTGTATATCACAGGTAATATGGTGTATTTGGTGAACAAAATGTCAGAAATGTTTTTTAATCCCAAGGAATCATGTCAAGATTTGGATTTGTTGTGATCCAGTATGAAGCATTATAAAGGACTCTGCTGGGTCGATGAAAAGAGGAAGCGAATACCGGAACAAAATCTCAAGCAAAATGAAACAAAATGACGTAGTCAGGAGATTCATAAATATGGTGCTACAGAATCTTGTGAAATTTTTGTTGTAGTTTGTCTTTCAAGTTTTTGTCCTCCCCCCACGTCGGTACTTCAGAAAATTGATTTTGAATAAAAATGTTCATGTCAAAAACTACTGGTTGGACAGTTAAAAATTAAAAATTTCCTGTAAAAAGCTCCGATATATGGGGATATTTTTTATCTCCCTGCAATGTAAATTTATTAAGTCAATGAACTGTGGAAACTGAACAGCTTGAAGGGAAATTTACGTAAAGAGTAAATATTTAGCTGTTTGTTTCACAAACAACCAAATCTTTTCCACTATATACCTCAATTTCCTGTCGTAAAATCTTGAAATAATTAAAAAAAAAAAAAAGAAACAAAACAGAAAATAAAAATTTGAAACAAAACTCGACTTCACTTTCGTAATATTTGTGCAATGCGAAAGAGCAATACTGTAATTCTTTTGTAGGGGAAAAGAAATCCTTTGGTGTATTTTCCTTATTCTTTAAAAGATGAATTTTGACTTCTATCTTGTTACCAAACTCTACAATGAAAATACCTGTATTTTGATAGAGATGTGATTTATAGACAAGTGATGTATATAGCAATTTATTTTGAGAGACCAAGATACGGGCTTGCTGGTAACAGGGAGTTAAAGTTTGAATGTTAGCCATTGTTTGATGGAATTTTTTTTTTTCACAATGTTCTGTGGCATTTTTCAGTACGTTAAATATTTGAGTGAAATTTAAGTTTCAGTCTCCCGAGACACAGTTTGTGAGGAGTTGGAACATCAAGTCCCTTTTAGGGACTTGATCACATTTCCTCGTTATGACGGTAGTTGAATGTGTTGGGTAAGCTGATGTATAAAGCGTTTGTTCGTGCATCATCTCTGTGCACAGGTGCACAATTACTGGTCTCTGTGAAATCACTTGAGGTCCTCCAAGATCAAATACGTGGACTTTGAATTCCCTTTTTTTTCAGTGGATTTGGCACTGCTCACACCAATCACTCCCGACTCAAGAGGACATGTATTACCAATGTGAAATTCAGGGAGTATGTCATTGGCGTACAACAGCAGTGTTTTAGGATAGCACAGGAAGCTTTTTCACTGAATGCTGTTTCAAGGAAACAGTAAGCTGAGAATTGAAGCAATATATTTAATGTTGCCTTTCATCCAAGGCTCTTGAAAAACCGAGTTGAGAACAAAAGGCGAGTAGGAATTGAAAACATAATTGATAAAGATCCCAAATTATTTTGTTGTTGGCTTGCACTGCTCTTTAATTGTGCTATTTTATCTATAGTTTCATCATGAAACAAATTTTAAGTAGTTCGTATTGACCTATATTATGGTTATGTTTTTCAATCACACCAACTCCTTAAGATGTTGCAGAAATCCTTGTACAAATTTTTTTTTTTTACTTTGAATTCAATACGATCAGCGGTCAAGCAGTATTACAAATATCCATTTTTCTTTTAATTATAAGCAGTGTTTGATCCATGCTGTTGATTGAAGAGGTCCTTTTTTAAAAGAAAATATATATCCTGTATAAATATATTAATTTAATATAACTGACGGAACAAGTACGCCAATATTGTATGTTTGATCTTGCCAATCTTGTGTTGAAGGTTTGGGAAGCTAGATCAGTAACCGGTCGTAGTTAATTGCTTTAAAGGTGCACTCACCCTCCCCTCAGAAGCATGTATCTCAGCTGAAGCTATCTACAGATTTCCTCTTAGCCTGTAATGCATCACCTTTAATGGACTATTCTCTGTCTCTCACTGCTTACCCTGCAGTTTGCGAGATCTGTTTGAGTATTTCCAAATTTTTGTTCTTAATTTGAAAGGTATATACAATTCTGGAATAAGGCAACTTTAGTTCCATTTGTATTTATGCTAAGCAGCAATCTGGCTTGCAGGGGTGTGATGTACGGTGTCTATCCTCATTTATGTCCTCCATTTCCCACCTGTGTTACATTTCCACTAACATGTTTGAATGTTTATTGCAAACTGTTCTCCACGTGTTCTCTTTGTAGACTTTTAAGTAGTAATTAGTTAGATCTGTTCAACTTTTAAATATGAAATTACGTAAGTTATCACACACATTTTTTTGGTGTCATGCCAGCTATTAATGTTTTGCCAATTTAATCCAGCTCAATTAAAATATACATTGTGAAAATTACAATTAACATCATAATTTGTTTATTTATTTCTGTGCATATACGTTTACACTGTGTTGAGAAGATAAACAATGCATGTGAGTATTCATTTTGTCTGAAGTCACTTGCATATTTTTAATTTCATCGGTGAAATATGTTTTGTTTTCCTGTACCAGCATGATCAAAATATTACGAATAAAAATATTTTGATGTGGAAAACCAGTCCACTTTTGTCTGTCAGATATGTCTGTGTAATTTTGTGTTTCCTTTCTGGCAAGATCTTCTCAAAATAGGTTTGTTTCATAAATCTGACCTGTACTTTATTCTCTTCAAATAGTTCACTATTTTGCGCGGGGGCAACTTAATGAAATGCAGGATTTGCCACGATCTGTAAAAACAACTGTTATAAAGGCTTCTTGTTCTTGATTGTACAATTGAGTTTATTTTAAAAAAGGTCAGAAATCTAAGAAATTCTCTTTTTTAGTTACGCTTCTGAAAAAGAAAGTAAAATCTCAAATAAAAAGTTGGAGGGCTGCCTTAACCACATGCTGCCGGGTGGTTTGAAAATGCAGTGCACACATACGGGCAAATTTCAAGATTTTCAGTTTTCAAAAATTTTCAAAAATTCATCATTTCAATTAATGGACGTTCACACCCACATGAATTACTGTCTGGTGGCCACTGTAGCCTGACAGACAAACTCTCTTAACGTCCGAGTATTTCAGCCAGACCTGCAGCCTTGTAAAAAAGAGCCCAGACTGTGCGGTGTTATATAATTTCTTTTGATTACAAACCTGGCACAGTGCGCTGCTGACCTCTTTTCAATAGGGGCCAGATTAGCGTGCAGCGGTGCTGTGTGGCTCATCGCTTAGGTAGTTGAGCGCTTTTGTCCCCGGTGGTAATCCGCTCGCACTAAATGCCTCAATCCGTGGTATACTGTTTCAAAACAAGGCTGGATTATCTCCACTATTGAGAGTGAAAAAATGTTGGTAATGCCTAGCAGCTCAGTCTTTTATTACAAGGCCCAGCTCTTTTGTCCTGGTTTCGGGCTCCCCGGCTTCATGTTATAAAGCCTATGTGCTCGAAAATGGGTCCCCCGGCAGCAAGTGGATGTTATGCCTGAAAGTAAAGTTATAATTTGCAACTTGTGCAAATTATTTGCAATATTACTGAATTGTTATTCACTGGGAAAAGGTTTGACAAAAAGAGAAAAAATTACATAAATATAAGTTCATACATAATGTGGACAACTAAAATATGGAAAAAAATGACGGCCAACTTGAAATTTAAAAAAGGCACTTCCAATATTCAGACAAAAGTAAAGCATAATGTTGCATGATTACACTGGATGTTCAGTAGCTGATTTCGAGAAATGTGGCATAATTTTGTATCATGCGAAAACCTTGCACCTCAAATGTGCTGTAGCCATACTAATACTTATGGCTCACTTCACAAAAAGTTGCTTAGCTGTGCAATTTTTTAATTATATTAAATTTTGTGGACAAGGACGATAATAGCTTTTACATTGGCTGTTCCTTTGCAATAATACAGCAGTCATCAAACAGTTGTTGAAATTACCTCCGCCCGCCATATTGGAAAAGTTTTCATCTTTCTTTGTTGGAAATGGACAGAAAATCTCCAAGTTCTCTCACAGCCAAACAAGTTTTTCATAACCTTCTTAAAGCTGTACATTTCTCGTATAAGCCTTCAGCAATGGTAAGCAGAACACGATAAGTCAGAAAAATCATTCATTTTCATTTTGTCTGGCGTAACTTGTGCCACCTGCAATGATAGCATAAGTTACGCCTTAGTATACACGTTTGGTGAATCGCCCTTAACTTGTGCAACGTATGTAAACCAACGTGGTGAAGTGCGCTTATGTCACTGCGTAGTTTCCTGAAATTGACTGCACGTCTACACAACTCACCAGCTTCAGTGCGTGGTACTTGCTACAAAATGGGTAAAGACCTTTGGTTTACAAACACTGACTGCCATTTTGTATGGGTAGCTAACGTTTCCAGAAACTTCACCCTTGGTAGCATTTGCCTCATAATGTACATTGGTTCGTGCATATCATTTACCATTTAGTGTTCAAATAGCAATGTAAGGTTTTTCTAAACTTCGTGATGACACAATTTAGTCTGTACTCGAGGTCAGCCACAATGTGTCAATTGCTGCCTGGCACAGACTTAACCTGTAACACTACCAAAGAAAGGTCTAATATCCTTGCTTCAATGTCACCCTTCATCAAACCATTTGGATTTTCTCAGCACTTGGCCGGCTTCCTCTCGACGGAACAATTTCTGTTTGTAATCAGCGACGAGTTTGTCAAACTTTGTGTCCTCTGCCTTCCCCTTTCTGTGTCTCCTAGATTTCTGTGTTCCACCCTTGATTTGGCAAGAAAAGAGAGAAAGAAAAACGGGTCGACTGTATGCATAAGAACCTGACTTTCTCTTGAAAGTCTCTTGAGGGTGTGCTAGACACCTAATATCTAAAACTGACATCTTGTTAATACAATCCACATGATGTAAATGACCAGGCCAGGTCAGCCGTTGTATTGGTCTTAACAGACAACAAGCAGGCTGGAGAACCAAACTTCTGTTCAAAATGTAACTCTACTGTACCGCATGCTTTCCCAGTGTTATGCAACAGCTGTGTCTTCTATTAGATGATGTTCCCCAAACGGTGTTCCATTTAATACTATGCCAAGGACATGAATTTGAAAATGCACCCATGGACTGCTTCAGTGAAATTCTCATTGATGCAGGTACATGTAAGGTCATATTCTTCCTCAAGCCAACAGAGGGCGCTTTGATAGCTACATGTACAGGTATTTAGTCCCATTGGAAACTGGGCTGATTGGTTTTGGTGAATGGCAACAGGGTTGCAGATTCTGATGCAATCTGGGTTTTAGCTCGAAGCGTTTTTTTTTTCTAAGCAAGGGTAAGATTCGGGGAAACCGGGAAACATCCAGCACAGAGATTGTAACAACAAGAATAATAAAATCTGTCACTTTTCACAGATTTCAATAGCCTACAAGACACAAGTTTTCTCCCCAATGACTATGACGACATGAATCCTTCCCTCGGTTAATTTTAAAAAGTGCAAAGAGGTAGAGAACCAGAAGAATTTAAGCCTCCAAAAATCCCAACTTGTTGGGATCAAAAAGCCTGAAATCTTAAGAAAGTTATGCTAAATATCACCTCCTCCATGTTCCCGTACCCTGCAACTTTCCCTCACCTCTCCTGTAGGCCTGGCTGGCTCTCTCTGCTTCCTCCCTGCCTCCCCAAGCAGCTGTCTCCTCTTGGCTCTGCGCTTCTCCTGCTGGGCCTCCAGTTCCTTCCCCCGGTCCCGCCACCTCTTCTTGGCTCCCACGTGCACCGTCATCTTGCTCTTGGCCTGCAGCCGCTGCTCCAGCTTGGAGGAGGGCGGGGCAGGTGCCACGCCCTTCTTGGGCTTGCCACCAGGCTGGGTTGCCCTTTTTTGGGCCGGCTGTTTGCCTTTTTTCACCCTCTCCTCCCGGTTCGTCAGTTTCTGCATGCTCTGGATCTGCCTTGCCTGTGCAGTGGTGTAGAGTTACCAAATGCTTTTCAGATTCCTTGACACAGTTTACAAACTAAAAACTTTTACAGTGACCACAAAAAGTAGCACACTGCAGGTGCTGCATCACTAGGGTCCAACTTTTCTTTTTTGGGGGGGTTTGAAGACAACACAGGGGCGCACAGTGGGGAGCAAAGTTACTCCTCTGGACAAAAGTTTCATGGAAGTTGAAACACACCAGCAACACTAAGACACCGCTCATTTTACATGTACTGCTAGCAACAAGCCTCTTAATGTGATGTGGGACATGGTGTGTTCAACACACACAGGAGGCACAGCGCTACGCATCACCAAGGGTGCTCAAAAGATTAACCCCCACATTGCAGCAGTCAACAATAGTTTTGTCACATCTCTGTTTTGATGATGTACGTGTGTGTACGTGATATCATACAAGGCCAGCTGATGCAATGTCTGAGTGTGACATGCATTTCAGTTGCCCTGTGATTGTTTTAAGCCAGTGTAAAAACAGTATTCGGGACAGATATATGACAATTCCTTAGGTATTTTGTAATGTAACCTTCAGTTTGTCCAATTGTCATAATATACCTTGAGTAATGATTTCTCCCTCCTTCGCTGTCTAGCCTCCAGTGCAAGGCGATTCTCCAGTGAAAATCCAACGATAGGCCTCTGCAGGAGATGAAAGGCAAGGCTCCTTATGACAAGGGTCTCTGCAGGTTGGGCAATACTGCATGACCGAGTGCCAAAGCTATGCTGGCCGGCTCAGGCCGGTGCTGGCCGGCATTTCAAATCGCTGACCGGTAATTGGAAATGAAAATGAAGTTTGCCAGCTGGCACAAAAGTCTGCTTCCTTATATGGTAGTGATGAACTTTGGACAGAGAAAAAAGGTTTAGAAAACATACTATTGTCGCAACTGCTTAAGCGACAAATTTGTTTAAGCATGAAGAAACCTTGCTTGACAAATCAGGTTACCAGCCAAAACTCCATGTGATGTATATTGTTTTGGAATGGTACCTGTCTTTTGGTTAGCATAACAATCACATAGAGTTTGAGCTGGTAACCTTTTTTTGTTAAGCAAGGTTTTTTCGTGCTTAAGCAAATTCTGCGCTTAGGCAGCTCTATGAAACTGGCCCCAGGTCATGACCAGCAGTTGATACTACACTGACTCATTCATCCCTTCCGACTATTCCCGTGCGTGACTCACTCAAATGAGGCAATGACTGAGTGTCTGTCTTGGCTCAAACTCAACTCACAAATGCACCTCTGAAGCTGCCAATCATGTGTCCTTCTTCTGGTCCTTATTCTCTTAACACAATAAATGTATTTTTAAATAACCAAAAATAAGAGAGAAACTAAAGGAGCAGGGAAAAAAGGAGGTTTTTTACTGACCTTTGAGCCAAAAAATTCTGTGCTGTTGTTCATCTTCCTCAGGGCTGCCAGTGCATGCTCATGTTGAGTGAACTCGGCAAATGCAAACCCTAGTGACTTACTCTGACTCTCCGAAGTTGGGTTCTTCATGTCACGCATGACACGAGACTGGCAAAAACATAGGCAAAGAATAAAAAGGGGGGAAAAGTTACCCACTCTGTCAGCAAAAACCCAAACAACCAAAATCTGACTCTGCAAATTAAATGGTTACTTTTGTGTCATGATTCACCTCATAGCCAATGCAATACAGCGTGATTTTCAATATCCAAATTTCATTGGACTGTACCTTTTTATGGGGGGGGTCCGACAGACATTTTGATAGCACTGTCAGTTTGACAATGCCCACGCAGTGATTGATGAGTGCTGGGCTTACCTCGATGACTTTTGCTTTTTTGTCGCTCGCTGCCGTCAATAGAGCCTTCTTCAACGTCTTGTCATCGACTGCCTTTGGCAGGTTGTGGATGGACAGCCGTGTCGGTGAGACAAAGATGTTGATGTTCTTGAGCTTCAGTCGCTTAATGGTCTCCAGTTTGGTTCTCTTGGCTACGTCAGAATCCGTCATGCCCTGTGCGGCACTGGTTCCAGGTCGGATAACTTTTTAAC